TCAGAAAACGGTCAAGAGTGGAGCAAGGCTACAGAGAAATTGGCTTCTGACACTTGCCAGAACCACCAAACAAAATCTCTAGTGACAGTTATATACTTATATTAGATCAAGACTCGAACATCACTGCGAAAGCGTCCATTATTCAGCTTATCAGACCTCTTTTAGTGAGAAAACACAGATCCCCGGCCTCCTTCGGTGTCGAGTAACTAGCTTTCACAAACCAAGAAGGAAACACCAAATGTTCAAGATTTTTTTAACATCCTTCAAATCCTGCCTAAAATTCTTATATGAAATGAAAATAAATTTGATATTATGCTAACAGTTAAAGGAATTATGATCAAAAAGTTATCATAGTAAGCTTTATAACGTTAATACTTTATTTTGTGGTATAATGATTTACGCCATTATCAAGTCAGTACTCTTTATGTGTCTTTATCGTTTACAAGTCTTTTCAAGAATACAAAATGGGCATTTGTGCTCACAAGGGAAGGTTTAGGCGAAAGGTGAATGCATACATATTATAACAGTAACCACATAGCTAAGAAGGGGGTGATGGGATTAATCATAGGGGTTTCTGAAGTTTTTCAAGAGCTCTGGAATGTCATACCCCAACATATCATCAACAGTCTGCAACATTTTCGGCTTTAGCTTCTCAAACTTGTCGATGTTGTAACCACTTAGCACCTCCCTGAACTGCTCCACATTTGGGAAATCTCCTTTTGGTAAGTGATGCTCTCTTTGTACCTGTTTTCATGTCACACATACACACATTGGTATTAAGATTCTCAGAATCAGAAAACCCATACTGGAAACCAGTTCAAACCTTTCCAAAGACGTCTTCCAAGTTATCTATCAGTTTCTGTTGAGCTTTGGCTTTCCCCATTATGGCTGGCATCTCCTTCTTCAAATGGCTGATGATGCACGCATGTATCTTTGCAGCTCTTGCTCTTTTCACAAACTCGTTTATCTGTTATAACACACAGAAGTCTGTTAGATCAAATCGGAGGGGAGGAAGTGAAAGAAGGATGGTTCACACTCACTCGACGATCACAAGCTTTCTTTGGAATGTCTTTCAAATCAGCGAGAAGGTCATCTTGCTCCTTTTCAAACAACTCTCTCCCAATTGGACCACTCGCAGCTTCATTAATCGGTTTATCACTGAATGAACTATACAAAGCAAACAAACAAGAACATCAAAACATACATCAACAAGTTCAAGAAACAGGTCTACTTACCCAATGTAGACACGGGCAACCTCAGGAGTATTGAGAACTTTTCCAAGTGACCACATGAGAGCACCATATACTCTCATTAGCTACACAAGATCAAAGACAGGCGTGTAAATGTATCAGAGAACATGGAAACAATCAAAGGAGTATGTGAAGGAAGAAACGAAATAAGAATCGATAACAGATTTGGTCGTCAACCTGCTGAGTGTCCACTTGGTCAGCCTTGTTCAGAACAACGCGGATCTTGTCGTCATGACCTCGTAAAGATGAAATAACCCGCTTGAACTCATCGCTTACATCCAGCTTGTGAGGATCGAATAGAAGGAGGATGAGATCACACTTAGACGCAAACCATGATGTAACACCAGTGAAATCATATGCTCGCTGTGTCCGTTGCTTTTCCCCTGATAAAACTCCAGGAGTGTCGACAAATGTTACGTGCTCCAGTAGCTTCAATAAAGAAGAATAAATCAACAATTATCAGAAATCAAATAAGCAAAAAAAAACAATAACAATCCTCATTGGGAAGCATGAGGTTAGACATACAGGGTGAGGCATCTGAGAACATTCAAACTTTGACAAAAAGGCAGTCCCAAAAGTTGTAAGACCACTGAATGGCATATCTGCTTGAACCGCTACTGTGTTCCCTGGAATGCTTCTTTCATCAGGTCCAGACTGTGAAACACAATAAACAGATTGAAATAACCCTTCATGCAGGGTGAAAATGAAATAAACTAGCCACCATTGTCAACCACGTTAAAACTTTATGTGTACTATTCAACCCAAAAACCAGATGCTTAGCAGAAGATGATGGATCTCGTTTTAAAAAACTAATACATCCACAAATGAAACCATCGGTAAACTACAAATACAAAATACCATACCATGACAACAACAAATCTGTCAGTAGTTGGTTCTGGTCCAATATGAGCTCCTGAAAAAGTGATAGTTGACGTTATACGAGGCTGTTTTATAGCTTAGCATTGACCTGGTAGTATCTTCTTCTAAAAACATGGAAACTACCAAGTCCCAGATAAAGGAGGAGAGAGGAATATATGGACAACTTGCCTGGATAACTAGCTTTAAGCAAATGCTTAATGAAGGTTGTTTTTCCTGTGGAGTACTGACCCAGAAGCATTACCATGGGTTTGGCATCAAAATCACTGTTCGTCTAAGCAAAATACAAGTAATTAGTTCAATGGTTAATATAGTTTACAACTCAATAACATTTGGAACTTGAATAACAACTATCCGAATTAAGTACCAATAAGCAATGTCCAACTTACCAACAAAGGGGATACAAAATCATTGAACCTATAAGCAACTTCGAGTGGCTTTAACTTCTGAATGTACAACCTCTTCAGGCCATCGACTATAGATGTTACGGAGGACAGAGAAATCTGAGAACAAGATATCCAGTTTACACAAACAGTAGATGTAAATTAACTAGCACCTAAGAAAAAAATCGACTTTAACTCTACCAATGATCTTTTTGACTACACAATAAAGATTAGGTAAGAAAGACCATCAAATAAATATTTAACTAAATATGGGAAGGCAATAAATGGTTGGCGGTTAAATAGACAGGATGAAGCAAAACAAACCTTTTTAGAAGATTTTGAAGAGAACCAATGAGCAGTAAGTGATGCATCTCCAGACGGACTACCTGAACAGTTTCAATCAAATGAGATACAAAAATTACAAAACTCAAACTCTAAGGTTTGTTTAGTATATTGAGAGATTCCTTGTACCATTCACACTAAGATCACTGGACTTTGATGAATGCTTCTTCTTCTGCATTACATACATGTTGCAATACTCATTTAAACCTCTAAAAGATATTAAAATTGGAAACTGGAGTCCCAAATACTAACCGCCATTATGACACCTAAACCTTCCATAGTAGGCGGATTCATATTCTTGAAATCAACTGCGATTAGCCAAAAAAATATCTTTCAGAAACAAGAACCATATGTTAACTAACTAGCATATGGAAATGAAAACTCATGCTTAAGTCGGTCGCCATACAGTCGCTATGAAGAACGTCATGTGATATCTCATGTCCAGTTTGAGCCAAAGAAACTAGCTACAACGTTAGAAAACAAGAATATATTAGATTTCAGAGCATAGCATTTGTTATATGAGATTTGAATGAAATATAATGGATCTAAACCTGCATAGCAACTATAAATTCTTTGAATCCAAGATACCCCTGTCTCTTTGCATCTGCAATTGCCCACACCTATCAGAAAGTGTAAATCATCATCACAAAAGGATTTACAGTAACAATCCACAATCATAGCATCTTCCTCTAAGCCTCAGGTGAACTTTTTCAAATCACATATTCAACAATCAAACCAAATTTGACTCAAAACCTTATACCTGCTTCAACTCGGGACGAGGCAAATTCGACATGGAGAAGAACTTGATCGCGTCGTTACCAGTAATGCGTCCATCTCCGTCTGCTCATCAATCACACCGAAACAGAGAAGCTCTTTTATTGAATTAAACAAATCGTAGATTGAAAAAAAAAAAAAAAAAAAACAGTGCCAGAGATAACCTGAATCGGCGAATTCGAACCATTCCTTGTAGATCAGCTGATTCTCCTTGGAGCACGAACCAGCTGCGACGGAATCGATCTCCATCTCCGATTTGCGAAAATCAGAGAGAGAAGGTTCCTTCGTCTCTCGACGGGGGGAAGGAAGAGGGAAAGAGAATTAGTAATGCGAGAAACTGCCCTCTATTTTTATAACGTTGCACGTATGCCCCGGTACTATTTGATTGATCGTAATAGCCCCCACTATTTATAAGGAGGGAGTTTTAAAGATGGGTCAGTAGTAAATAGTTAAATACTCTTTTTTTACTCAATATGATCAAAGTATTTTAGATTTTAGTCAGGATGAGGAGGGTTTATTTTTGGTTATCATGGAGATAATAGATTCTACATTAAAATATGTTCTCAAAAGAAATAAAATAGTTATATTTTCACCCGAAAACGTAAATGAAATTTAATGTTACTGAATGATTTACGTACACCTGGTGCAAAAAAATAAAAAAAATGATTTTGAAATCTAGTTCTAAAAATTATTTATCACCATTCCAGAAATATTTTAATTTATACAATTTTGGTCAAAATATTTATTTCTACTTAAAATAAACATGCAAAATTATCAGAACTCTTGGAAGCAAACTGACTTGCTTTTGATTTTCATAATAACTGACTACAAACCAAGAAGAGATCTTATCAACTCGATTGAGTAATGTGGAAAACAGATGAAAGTAATATCACAAAGTTAAACAACAAATTCAAAATCACACATATTAATAAAAATTAAATACAACATTTTAATTTTTAATTTGGTTCTATTATTTTTTTACTTTTTTATTGTTTTTAATTTTAACTTGCTTCCCAGTAAAATTACACAAAAAGTGTAATTATTTTACATTTAAAATAAATGTATTAATTAAAACCAAAATCAATCTTTCAAATACAAATCTAAAATCCAAAACATCATTTAAATACGGAGAGAGTACAAATAAGGCATGCAATTTGTAAACCAGCTTATTTACTGTAAGATCTCTCAATAAACATATGACATTTGTTACAAAATCTACACATTGAAGAACAAAGAAGAAAATTTACAATGGTTAAGGTTTTTAGGAAATGTTACATGTTACAGAGATGTTCCGTGTACAGTATGTACTAGCAATATCATCCAACAAGAGAGCCAAAACCAAAACTTCGAGACTTTACAATCCAAAAAAATTGATTCAAGAGATCCCAATGGTCTTACCCAAAAGCCAGAGAACAAGCGACATTTCAATCCCGAATATTGTATGCAGAGCACTTCTATCAAGTGTAAAACCAAATATTGTGATTCCTGCTTTATTGTTCTCAAAGTAATTCACTGAAAAAAAATCCAACAAAAGTTTGTGGAAGTGAGTATAAATAACTAGAGAATGTAAAGAAGACTATGTGTAGATGTACCTAGAGCTTGTCGTTTTTGGAATGATATGGTGCTATAAGCATAAGCAGGGATGAGATCATTGTCATCAAAATCATCCTCTTCCTCTCCATAATCCTCGCTGTCATCTGTGTCTCTAATATCAACATCTGTTGAATAGATACCGTTTCCGGTTGTTCTATCAACCAACCTTGGAGTCCCTCCATCCACTGTCTCAAATGATTCTATGGTCGCACAGACATGCCACTTTGCAGCAAGACTAGTCACCGCCTGAGCCTTGTGTGTGATCTTTGATGCACTTCGTAGTAGAATTAGCAGCGCAGTGACCAGCGTCATTGAACATAGCTAAGATCCAAAAGAGGTAGCAAAATTTGCCATCAAGATGTAACAGAAAGCAAAAATAAAAAAGACAAAACTCACTGCTAGTTCTCCAGCACTGTTGATATTTAATCCAGAAGAGGCCTTGGTGGTAATAAGCAGCGAGTAAAACTGACTTCCAGTGACAAGAATCAATGACAACAATATGAAGATTCTGTATCGGTGGCTGATGATTCTGAGGTGACGTCTGATGCGGAGATGTTCAGACAAGATGGAGCCAACATCTGAATCCATCTGAAAGACTTGAGCAAAGTCTTGAAGCCTAAGGATTTGGAGATGGCAGATGAGACGGAAGAGGACGCAAACAAGGAAGATCACTGTAGTACGGTAGAGCCACGAGCAGAGTTCCATAAGACAAGCGACTGTATCACTCAAGATGACATTACCGAGGAAAGGAATCTGAGATGCTCCTGAAGCGTACCACCATATCTTGTATGAGCTCATGGCTAAGAAACAAGGTGTGACGAAGTAGGAGAGAATCTTAAGCGATCTCTGCATAACAAAGGAGTTGTGATGTTAGAAAACAACTATATAAACATGGCTATGTGCTATTTCATAAAACCAAAGGCAAATCATTGTTGCTCCTTGTGGATCAAGTAAACAGAGGGTTTTCAAAATTCAAAGTAGTTCTTTTTCTTTACACCACCTTAGGCCCTATATAAAAATTGTTATGTGATACTTCAACTATATAAACATGGGTATGGGGTATGTGCTAATTCATAAAAGAAAAGCAAAGCAATGTGTTCCTTGTGAAGCAAGTAAGCAGCCAGTTTTCAAGAATGGAAGTAGTCTGTTGTTTACACCACCATAAGACCTAAATAAAATGTCTATGTACTAATTCAACTATATAAACATGATAATATTCTTTTTTTCTTTTTTTTTTTGAGCAAATAAACATGATAATATTCTAATACATATAACAAAAGCTAAACTTTGTGTTCCTTGTTAAGTAAGTAAGCAGAAAGTTTTCAAGATTCAAAACAGTTCGTTGTTTACACCACAATAAGCCCTAAATAAATTGGCTAGGTGCTAATTCAACTATAACATGGTTATGTGCTACTGCTAGATCATAAAACAAAAGCAAAACACTGTGTTCCTTGCGAGACAAGTAAACATAGGTTTTCAAGAATCAAAGTAGGTCATTGTCTACACCATAATCCAAATAAATGAAAAGAACTCACGTTGAGCTGATTAGTGTATCCTCGGCGAACAGTGGAGCTCTCATCCCAAAGCTTATCAAAGAAGAGGAACCGTCGGAGACCAAACTTGCTAACGAACCTTGAGAGACATAAGAAAGAAAGGGCAGCGAAGCTGCTAAGAGAAAGCTGAACAACAGAATCATAAGGCCTAGAGTGATGGCTATCGCAGTTGGCGCAAGCGAGCATGAAGTGAGACATCGCAGGAACCACGAGCGTGAAAACGACAAACATCGACCAAGACAGAACCGCTGTCCAAGGGCTTGACTGGTCCACGCACATCCATCTCAGATATTTCCGGAAACTATGGAGCTCGTCGTACGCGTTCGAGACAGAACGCTTGAACTTCTTTTCACGGTTAATCAACGGTTCTCGTCTTCCTCCTCCTCCGTCGTCGTTTCTTTCTGCTGCGGTTCCGATGTCGATGTCCGTCATGGACGATCCCTCGGAAAATAAATATATATTAAAAAAAAAACAAAAAAAAAACGAGAAGTTAGACAAGAGACTTTGTTTTCTTTTTCCCCAAGAAGAAGGCTGAGAATCAGGAATAGCTAAAATAGTGAAGGTTATTTATAAATGATTGATGCTAACGTAACGTGGCCTTTGACAACCCATGTAGATGTCATTTATCCTATGTTGCTCGCATCGTATTTTTATTTGGAGCCAACGTATACCATTTGGATTTGACAAACGGATTTGTGTAAGTATCATTGTTAGGCTGACTTTTGTTTCACAATAAAACAAAAAGAAATGTAGTTATGTGTTCATTAAACAAAAAGGAAAAAAATGTAGGTATGACTTCATGAAAAAATCCTGATTTTGACAATCACGGGATGTTACTGATGTTTTCTGTTAATTTTCTGTTAATTTTTTTATATATTTTTTGCTAAATAGAAAAAATCATGTTAATTTAAAAATTTTGTTAAAAATTAAAAGAATTTTTTCTTTCAAAATTTTCTTTATTATTTAAAAATTAAAATCGTAATAGCATGGTTTTTTATTTACACTGATTAAAATAGTTTCAACTCCTCCTGTACAGCGAAACTTATTTAATTGCTGGAAAATAATATGTAAATAATAAATAGATATTTGTTATTATTTATGATAAAATTGCAAACAATGATTTTTTTAAAAAATAATCGTCCACATTACTTTAGTTATTTAAATTGTCATAGACTACAATTATCATTTATTGGCGGGAAAAATACGTGGCAATGAAAAAAGTATTTAGAAAAAACAGTAAGAGTTGCAAGCATACAAGATGCTAGTGAACAAAACAGGCTGTAGGACAATGACATTGTGATGTGTAAAATTTAGGTCGTAGATCACGCAAATCACCGTAACTAAGGCGACACGTACATGTTGTTAAGCTGTTCCTAATCACCACTAAATTAATTTGATGTCTTAACAAAGAAAAATATATATAATTAGATTAAACTCAGCAAGTAAACTTTCCATTGGAACAGTTAATTTTAATCATACTATTACTTGAAGAATTCTAAGTCCCTGGCAGTATGTCTTCAATTTATTGGAAGGATGGTCGAATCTGTAAGTTCAAAGGCTCTATCAATGAATATAATAAAGAATATTTTATAAGAAAGGTCTATCACTCTATCTATTCGAATAATTCATGGGCGTGATTTTTGATTGCTTGTGTGACCTTTGTGCATGGCTATCCATTCTGGTCTATTTAGTGGAAAATTATAACTTTTTAATACTATCAAGTTATAACTTTTTAATACCATCAAGTCAAAATTTAAGATATTTCAATATATTGTATCTACGTTTATTCTAATATATAGGTTTCTCCAGGGTCCTCTCATCATTTTGATGGGTCTAAGACAATTTTTTTTGTACCTCTAAATCTATAATTTTTTTTGTTAAAGTTTATGTTATTCAATAAATAAAAAATAAAAATCTTTGTAAATAAATTTTTAAAATATTTTATCATGAAACCAAAAAAAAAACTTTTAACAAATTTTTCGCTTTTTCAATCTATTTTTTATACAAAATAGTTGAAAAATGTGTAAGATATATAAATATATAAAAATAAAACCTTTGATTATAATTACAATTTTTTGATAAAAAATAATTGATTTTACCTCTTTACCGGAAATCCAAACATTGTAAATAATCATTTTCACCGTGAGTTGAATTTAAAATGCCGAAATTACAGCCGTAATCCTTTTACTACTAAACCAATTCGACGTTGATAGTTATTTACGGGATATGGTTGGGTCAGGGGCGGTTGAAGCCATCGTCCCTCCTCCTAAACCGGCCGTGGTTGCATCTAATGTTCTCAATTGTTAAACATTTTGAGTTGTCTGATGATTTAATTTTGTTCTTGTTGAAGAACAATGATTTTTTTTTGTCAATGATTTTTATTCTTAATTCTAGTATAAATTGTATTATGGTGTTTCGGTTGCAATTTTTCTAACGAGTATGTATATGATATAAAAAGTTAACAGACGAAAATGAATGATATCATATTATAACTTTTATAGTAGCGAGGTAATACATTCGAATATTCGGTTTAAGCTTTGGCTTAAAATGATTTGATCATCATACTATTACTCGTAATGATGCTCTAACGTTCAAATGTATATGAACCTAAAACTCGTAGCGTATAAATACTGGCAAAGAATGATATGGTAGAACCGTAGAAGAGGTAAGTAATACTTGTGAGTTGTGACTAAACTGAAGTTAACTTTTAAGTAAAAGATTAGAAGCGGGCCGGCACAAGCTTTTATGGGCTGACAAAATTTCTGTCACGGAAATATAAGTTGTGCTGGTAACACGCAAGCCAACTAAGCCACTCTTCCTATAAAATAATGTCTTGTGTTTAAACATATTTTCAGATGGTTGTCAGAAAGTCTTATTGATTTCCAACAACTGACACTTTAATTGTTTTATGAGTAGGTTTTGTTAACACATCTTTAATGATAAGATATGTTTTAATGTTTAGGATAAGAAGGAATCGATTCGTTTTGGTTTGTGAAATAATTGATGATGAATTAGACAAGGCATACGAATTATGTTTGTTCAAAGTTTTCGGTTCCGGTAGCGTGGATAGCTTAGATTGAGAAAAATATATCAGATATAACCAAATTAAACTGCGGTTCAGTTTGGTTTAGGTGTCATATAGTTTAGAACTTTAGATGTTAGTTCTTGATTAAACTGATAAATTCAATTAGATTATGATAAATTCGTTCAATTTATATCAGTTAAGAAAAAAACAAAAATTGGCTAAATTGATGGGATTGGATGAGCTAAACTAAACCGATACTCGGATCTATTCTCTATCGAACAAACATTGGCTAAACAATTTAACTTAAATAACCAAACCAAAACATTCTGTTAGGCTTGGTTTAGAATTCCAACTCAGACTTTTTACTTTTTGGACCAGAATTCGAACCATAAAATGAAAAGCGAAAGCGACTTGAGAGTTGAAATAGGTTCAGGTAATAAATCTCTGTAGTAAATAAAAAAGAACCAGACTTCGTAAATTCCACAATATCTTTCAAGATTTTCCACAATAAAGCCTACCCGACAACGGTTTAAAAAAAAAAAAAAAAGCTCGTTCTTTCTTAAACTCACTGTCTGAATCCGTGGCAGAGAAGCAAAGTAGATACCAAATTTGAGACAACTAGGACAGCAAATTTTAATCAAATGGTCAAACAAATTACAACGAAATTCTACCACCCAACAGCATTTACAGATCAACATTATCTCAGCCACCAAACTTCAACCTAATGAGTTGGCCTTTGCCCATTGAGCTAATCACCATTGACCTTACCCATCTCCAAACATTTGACTTGTACACGCAAGGGAAAGCCTTTCATGTCCTCTAACTGCTTGCACCTAAAAAGATGAATGAAACACTTCAGCTGCTTAGCAATACCAATTTAGTATTCCAACTTCTTTCTTCCAATCACCCAACCAGGGTAGTAAATGAGTTTCACCATCATTCTTTCTCCAAGCCCACAAGTGAAACCAATCAGATCTTCTGCTTATGTCACCTATCACAAGGTTTACTTGTACAATAGAAACCCTCGATTGATCAAAATCAAAGACCAAACAAGTGTCTATGTATATTGTGTTACATAGCAATGTGTTTGTGAAAATGCAGCTTCATACTCACACATGAGGAAAACTCTATAAAAACAAAATCTACAGAGTTTGGATTTGAATCATTAGCTATATAAATGTTACATGTAACAAAGGGTTGATTTTTAAATAAGAAACAGACAAAATGAAACTCAGATCTGGTTCTTACAGTAACAGATCTCAACACAACCTCTCTATATATCTTCATCATCATCATCAACATCTTCCTTTGCATTGTGGTAAATAAAAATCATCTTCACTCACTTTTTTTTTCCCTTTCCAAAATGCAAAATCAAAGACGTAGATCTGTGCAGTGGAGATCATCGAATAAGTCAACACCATCCAACGGCGGAAAATTAAGATCAAACAGAAACGGCGTTTTCCTCGACGAAGCAATATCATCTCCGTCGTCAATCACCGACGACGACGAATCACAGTCGCTGTGACAATCCTCCGGAGCCACAGGCGGCGTCCGAGGATACCTCTTCGTCGCCTTCGCCACCGGTCTCGGCCCGCTACACGATTTAACGGTGCTGCTCATGCTGCTACTCGCCGGACGACTGATAACCTGCTGCTCCGGGAAGCCGCTACCTCCGCCGTATAACCGGTGGTCCATAAACGGATCCATCTGGTTCTGATTCCGATGATTCTGGTAGTTGAGTGGTTGGAGAGGGGAGGAAGGGGAGGAGTCGATGGGGAAGTTGGTCTTGGCCTTGGGACCACGGAGGTTACGAGCGGCTGCATCGTAGGCACGTGCGGCTTCGACGGCGGAGTCGAAAGTACCGAGCCAGACACGTGACTTCTTTAAAGGGTCACGGATCTCGGCGGCGAAACGGCCCCAAGGTCTCTTCCTAACGCCTCTATACCTCGGCTCCTTCACGGATCCGTGAAGGGCGGGTGGAACGATGGAAGAGACTCTTCCTTTCCTCATCGTGGTGGAGAAGAAAGGAACCAGAAGTAATGTGAGTTTGAAGAAGAAGAGAGATCTGTGTCTGAAGAAAGAATGTTGTAATGAGGAAAGATGGTGGAACAAGGGTAGGAGTTGGAATTTTTAAAAATTCTTATAATTATTTATCATTTCTTTTTTAAATGTTTTTACTCAAATAAAATTTTATTTAATTATTTATGGTTGGAATAGCTTTTTTTTTCTTCTCTACCTTCACGCCCGTCCAACAAGACCGACCAAAATCGTTTCCCTTTACTTTGATTTATGGAGAGTACATCATTTTCCAAACTTTGATTCTTTTTCCTTTTGCTTTAAACTTTTATTCGACATATATAATGTAGGGGTGGGCACAATTACTTGTTACTCGGCTTGTACTCGTTACTTGATTCATACTTGGTTCTTAAAGTAGAGTACTCGTTTTGTCCAAGTCGAGTATCAAGTCGTTTGTTTCAATTATTTGCAAGTATAAGACAAGTACCAAGTACTAAAATAAAAATAACTACTTGGCGTTGTTGGCTTGTTACTCGTGATTTATTACTTGATTTATTACTCGTTTTTTATTTTTAGACAAACAAATCTCTAAATTATAATCAAATTACTTGTTTATAAAACAAATAAATTAAAAGTGATATATTATAGAAATATTTTAAAGTTTTCTTTTAATTTTATATTTATCATATATCGATTTAAAAACATATAAAAAGTAAATAGATATTCTTTATTAAAAATTGTTTAGATTATAATTATAACTAACTAAATGTTTTTAAATTCATATACAAGATTTAAGTAGCAAACGTTAACAAAATTTTATTAAATAATTTATAAATAATTATATAATCATTTATAAATTAGTTGAGATGCAACAAATAGTAAAACGGAGCAAGTACTTGCAAGTATACCATTTTTTAGCAAGTACTTGAAAGTGCAAGTACTCGTTTTTAATAAACCAAGTACAAGTCCAAAATTTTATTACTCGAACAAGCCAAGCCAAGTACCAAGTAAGCCAAAAATGGCAAGTACTTGGCTTGTGCCCACCCCTAATATAATGTGGAAAATAAAATTCAGTTTTTCAATTTAAAAACAAAAATTTGAAAGTCTTTAAAAGGGTTCGTTCACAAGAGATATGTCTCGAAATGCGAAGAAAGAAAAAGAGGGTAAGCACTTGCCTTCTGTCCTGACCCCGACCATTATTATATTAAATTAATCGCTTAAAAAGACCAAATTGTCCACATGTAATGACTAAAAACACCCTCGTCTATCTTTTTTGAAATTTAAAATAATATAATAATAAACACCTCGAAATTATTAAGTGAGACGTCTTCTCCTTCCTTGGGACCCTACACGAAAACGAGACGCGCTTACCATCATCATCATCGGCTCTCCCGTGTGAAAAGTAAATGCTGTTTGCGTAAATGCATTAATGCAGAAACACACACCCACATTTAAAAGAAAAATATAAAATTTGCTCACCATGATGATCATAATAGTCTACTGAGTGATTTGATGAGTAGTTTAAGGTTTTTTCTTGTGGCTTCATCTCCTGTGAATCCTAGAATATCTGAGCTTATACTCTACAATAAAAACAATCATGTTAAACATTTTCTTTAACTTGTTCAATGCTCTTAGTTTTGTTGTCTGATGTTGAGTAAAAAGTAAAGTTACCTCGACGTTCTTCAAAGTGTAAACCAGAGTGTAGATTGACTTCTGTATTAGTTCTGTATTTTCAGGTGTCATTATCGTCGAATGAACCTTTCTGCAATGTTACAAAAAAATAAAAGGCTAAGAAGATTTACATTCTCACAGTCTTCTACTACATTATCTAATCACAGAGCTTATGGCATTAGTGTAAGCAAACGAGCCATGACATATATGTGGTCCTAGTACTTGCTTTTATATTGCCACACACAAGTTTCAACTCCATCCACGAATATACATCCAAGTGGTAGAAATAGCAGACTTTGGTTTCAGAAGATACAAACAAGATCATCAACTATTCCATATTGTAAAACAGTAGATCAAATCAGACATTTCATTTGATGTGGAGCTAGCACTCAAAGATATTTATGTTCTACAATAATCTTCTACAAAATGAGATGCAATTCAAGGGCATGGAGTAACTCAAAGTTGACACTTCCACTGTGAACTTCCTCAGAAGACTATCTAAAGTGGCTTTAAGGATGTAAAGTCAATAAAGATTATTAGTACCTAAACTCCAATTTTGGGCACTAAGAGTAAGAGTCATTACCTCATATCATCAGAAGCTTGGGTGAGGCTTCGAGTTAGACCCTCAACTTCCTTGAGCAAGCCGCTATCACGAAACTCAGACAGCAAAGGTTGAGCATCTTCAGCCATGGCTTGAATCTGTGACATCACTACATCAAAACCCAACGCTTACACATGAGAAATACATTAATCTTTTCCTCATTCTCAAAATTCACCAAAATAAACTCATATCACCTTTTTGAGTAACGGTTTTGCATCTTCAATAACTGAAACAGCTCTCTCAGCAAGAGAAAACGCATTGGCAACACCAATCTCCTCTACATCACGCCCCATACGAGTGAATATCCCAACTAATTCATCTAAACTCACTCCTTGCTCTCCCTTTATTTTCTCCCTATCACAAACAATCAAACCTTCTCTCCCACACTCCTGATGCAACGGCCCTACAGAAGGTTCCGGTATCGGATTTTTCGGCGTAATATCGATCATAGTCTCCATTAGTAGACCAGACTGATTCACCTCAACCAGTGAATTCCTAGGGATAATAATCTTATCATCTTCAATCTACAAAAAAAAAACAAAAAAAACAAGAGCCTAAACCAAACATCACCCATCAAAAACCAAGATTCAGACCAAGAAACCATTACCTCAGCAACAGCTTCAATGTTCTTCAAAGAAGGATTCACACGGATAACAGTCCCAACGGTCACACCACGGATCCTAACCGGTGTCCCCGTGCAAATACCAGAGGCTTGACTAAGCTCAAAGACAGTCTGATACTTCCTGAACTTGGCACGCATTTGAAACCCTCGTAACCAAGCCCAGCTAAGAGCAAGAAGTGTAGCTCCAGAGACGAGAAACAAACCAACCCCACCTTCCCAAACACTTCTCTTACCAAACCCAAAATCACTAAGAGGTTTCAAAGTCTGTCTCCATATATTCTTAGGTACATCCAACACAACCGTGAGAGGACTCTTCTTCCCTTCTGGTTGACTGGAACTTGATCTGGTCACTAAACAACGCCTGGTTCTAGGTTTTTGTGGGAGATAAGGAAGCCCATTGGGAGAAACTCGAGGGGAAACAATCATTGATGATGAGGACATTATAGAGTTCCCAATCATCTTCTAGAACTAAATTTTATGTAATAAAGTTGCAATCTTTACGAGCTGAAGCTGGAAGGGGGCTTCTGATAAACAAAGAACATGTGAATTGCGTGAGACTTCTACTTTTATCAATCGAATTACAATTTGTAATTTAGGGTTTCAGAGAGATAGATAGATAGAGATACCTGTGCTCGAAGTTTATTACCGAACCGGTGTGTCTTGAATCTGAGATTGACGTCAAAGACTTGCTGATCCCATGTGTTTATTTGTATTTTTTAAATAATAAAACAATAATTAATCAACTAATGCTAAAGTGTAAAGGAAGTGGAGGAGGGGTAATTACGTAATAATCAAAAAGTATACAGTGAAACTGAACTCTTTCTCTGTGTACTTTCGACCTTTGGAGGAGCGTTAAGACAACAACACAAGTGTTTGCTTTTTGTGTTTGACCGCAAATTGTGGAAGTTAAGCTCATAAAGTTCAACTAAAGACTCTTCCCCTCATATGAAATTGATTTAATGTAATAATCAAAGATCAACAAATCAACGCTTTGACCATATATGTTCTTTTGAGTAACATCAACAAGATCACAGCCTTTTTTTTTTTTGCTACATACACAAACAAAACAAAAACGTTTTTATTATTGCGAGTCCTTGCATTTGATATGTCTCTTCTGTCACAGTCTTGGGATTCAGTTCATCACCAACCAACAAGCAGTAACTTCAGAAGAGCCATTCTAATGAACAAACCGTTCTTTGCTTGTCTGAAGTAAGCAGCTCTTGGATCAGCATCCACATCAGCAGTGATCTATGCATATATAATTTACACAGAGTGAGGATTTGTCTCACGAAAAAACAAAGAAGAGGTTATATATTATATCAACTTACTTCATCTAATCTTGGTAAAGGATGCATGATAACAGCATCTTTCTGCATCACTCCTAACAATGCCTTGTCTACTATATACTTCCCACGAGCAGCTTCGTAAAGGTCAAGCCTTTCTCCAAACCGCTCTCTCTGGATTCGTGTTTGATAAACCACGTCACACTTTGATGCTACTTCCATTAAATCTGAACTTTCTTCCCATTCTACCCCGTTTGATGTCAAATAGTCTTTTATATCATCCTAACCATTAACAACAACACATTTAAGCAACAAAATCAAATACTGTAAAAGTGAGAAGTTTAGTAAACACAAACCTTCATCTTAACGATTTCAGGTGAGACAAAGTATATCTTCACGTCTTTAAATTTGGCAAGCAAGTATGCAAGCGACCGGACTGTTCTTCCGTTGGCAAGATCTCCAACTAATGCTACACTGATGCCATCTAGTTTTCCAATTTCACTTTGGATTGTGTAGACATCCAAGAGAGCCTTCACAAACAACAACAAAACCAGACATAAGAAACTGATATTTTTGTTCAGGAAAGATAAAGGTTATGATGAACAGAAACACACCTGAGTGGGATGCTCTCCAGGACCATCACCTGCATTTATGACAGGTATATTGGCAGTAGCTGCAGCTCTTTTAGCAGCACCGCTTTCAAAATGTCGCATCACAATTATATCTGAGTATCCCTCCACTGTTCTTATAGTGTCTGAAACACACATGCAAACATGTTTTAATACAAGTTAGATATTTAGTTGACAAGATGAGATACCTTCTAGTGTTTCCCCTTTAGCAGCAGAGGAAAATTCTCTAGCGTTCTCGGTTGTTAAGACTTCCCCTCCCAAACGTTTCATTGCAGATTCAAACGAGAGCCTGGTACGCGTAGAAGGCTCGTAAAAGAGAGTAGCCATTAGGTAGCCCTTGAGTATCTCACTTTGAGAAGAGCTTTTTTCTATCTTCTCCATTTCACGTGCAACGTCAAATATAGCACTTAGCATCTCCCTGTCAAACTGTTGCCCTTCAATCACATCACTAAGTTGAAACTTCTTCCCAGCGGTAAAGGGTTCCTTTGTCTCAACTTGCATAGCTTGACACCTGATTCCTTGAACCGGAGTAATCTTCCGGGTCAGATTCCAAGTAGCATTTTTCTTGGGAGATGAGAGATGATTGCTTTGGAACTCATTGCTGCAAGCTAAAGCCTTAGGAGAAACCAAGCTTCTGCAAAGTGTGGCTGAAGTAAGTGATGATGTGATAGACATTTCGTTGAAGTGAATGTGCTTAGATACAACTTCAAGAACCTGCAAAATATTACTTATCTTATACAGCACTTTACAGAAACTCACTAAAAAATAAAAAAACATCTAGAGACAAGAACAGGAACAGAGTGCTTTTACTGTTGTGTCCGTTTGATTTTTTTTCTTCTAAGAAACCAAACATGCAAGTGTATAAAAAATATATTTTCTTTCAGGGATAGAATCAAAAACCTTCGTTAATCTATAGAAATTAACTATAATCTTAACTAAGATGAGAATGATTGTGTGTTTTCTCTTGTCATAAACTTACACAGACCTTAAAGGATCGTTTATATCAGTGGAGCTGTGAGGTAGAGAGAGAGAGACTTTCTGGTCTATCTATAACGCCGGCAAATGACGGCGGGAAACGCAGCGGCGGTCGGAGGAGCGTAGGGTTGATGAATTTTCGAGACGTTTTTATTTTAAGAATAGCGGAGGGAAAGAGAAATAAAGCTTTTTTTTCTTTTTGTTTCTGTTAATGGGCTTTATAAGGCCCAAATTATTTCCTTTTTGTGAACTATATTTATATTATATATTGATATTTACAATCTAACAACACAAAAATAAAATTTACATCAAAATCCTAACCTAAACCACTAAAGAATATACAACCAACATGGTCTGATCTTCTCTGGAAAAGATTCAATTAAACCTCCGGTATGCTGTGCAGAACCGGTCTCCATAGCCGGTGATGGCTGCCTTCTTCAGAACCGGTCAAGTCATGAACGTTGACTTTATTCAGTAGATCCTGCAGTTGCTTCTTCGTGAGTCTGATCTTGATCTCATGATGAGATGATTTACTGTCTCGTGTGACAATAACTCTTTTACTAGTCTTAATAGAGGTTATCTTGGAGCTATGATGATGGTCTTGTTCTTCTTCATCTTCTGTGATGAATTCATCATCCCAATCTTCACCAGCCCAGTGCGTTTCTGACTCATGCCTTAGACAATTCCCCATTCTTTGTTATTCGTTTCTTTGTAGGTAAAGTGTCTGGTTTGTAGATGATGGTGGTTTATATAAGACGTAGGTAGAAAGGTGGTGGGATATTAAAATCATATGCAGGAGATAAAGATTAGATCAAATGCCACGTCAGAATTTATAGTACTTTTATCCTACGTGTACATGTGTTTGTTGAACTCATCAACTCAGTCACCAGCTTTCGCCATTTTTTTTCTTTTTTTTTGGCGCGTCGTTCCACGTGTCTTTCTCGGCTCGTCAGCTCGGCTTGCATATTTTTGCTGGTTTTATTTTCCAGTGTGCGGGTGAAAAATGCAATGCCAAGCTCGTGGATAAAGGATGAAATACCTAACGTGACGTCTAAAGAAAACAGAAATAAACACGAAAGTTTTGTATAGCACATGCACATGACTAAAAAGAAACATAAATAATGACAAGACCCAATACTCCATTTTCGTTATCGAATCCTCCATTTTTAACACAGGAATGAATAAAATTCTTTCCAGTTTTTCAAAAGTTAAAACTAGTCACAAATATAATTTCCAGCTAATTTCAGAAATCCACCAACACTACATATGTTTAATTTATAAACTCGTTTTTTAATTATATAATATATATATTTTTAGAATCTCGATGGAGCCGAGTTAAGAGGAAGCCGAGTGAATAAAGTGAAGTGTGAACACGGCACTTGAGGAGGGATCTTCAAAGTGTGAACGCAACCAAAGGGAACAGAATCTCTGAGCCCAAAGATGCCCACCCACATTTTCAATTACTCGATTAAGTCATATGAGTACATATTATTATTCTACTGCACGCACGTCTCCCACCTTTAACTTCCACCCATGGTTTCCATAACCCTCTTATCTTACCAATTAGTTTATATATATATTTGAATGGTCTTGGATTATTCGGTTTACATTAGTTTTCCTGTTTTACATTACTATTCACTCATGTTCTAATATTTATCACTATTTTTTTAACAAAACCGTTCCTTATTACAAGTTGAACTGATCGTAAGTTTTTATTTATTTATTCGTGTAAACATATCAATTTTTCACATACCAATCGATCTTAACATTACTTACCCTACAAAGAAAAAAAAAATATATATATATATACATATATTCAGTCAACCTAAACTGTTGAAAAAAAATAGATAAAAATATATATATATATACATAAAAAAAAATATATATATATATACATATATCGATCTTAACATTACTTACCCTACAAAAAAAAAAAAAATATATATATATATATACATATATTCAGTTTGATCTAACACCAGCTTTTAGCTTCTCACTTTCAATAGCTTCTATGCAGTTTTACAAAAAAAAAAAAACTCAACAACTAATTTATATACCATAATTTTTTATCTATTGAAAGTGAGAAGCTAAAAGCTGGTGTTAGATCAAACTTATCCCACTAAAATACAACTAGCTTCTTTGTGTAGTATCAACCAAGCCCGAAGTTGGTGTTACATCAAACTTATCCCACTATCTTGCAAGTTACAACTAGCATTTTCTTTTGCATCGACCAAAATTCCTAAGCTACTAGTTTCTTGTTCTTTTATGTGTTGTCAATCACTTGATCAATAGACCCGATTTTGTTTTTCTAAATGAACTTTACTTGTAGAATATATTGGCTGATCTATCTATTTCTCGCACCTCTTGTTCTTATTGATTGTTAATTCAAACCGATCTGTAAAAAATATATAGAATCTTGGTGTTCATAACACTTTATAGATACGACAAACTTGATCATCTCATTATTTATATGCTTTATATACATATCCGTACATATTCATATTCTTATCATCATTTTAAGATTAAATACTACAATATATGTCAGCTATTTGGAATTAACGGACCTATACAATGGGTCAATCAATTCAATTGATCTATTTTCAACTTATATTTGTTACACCTCACATATAACTCATTAGTTTATAACAATTTGTATGATTGTTCAATCATTGATTCAAATAAACATCTCGTTAACATATATCCTACAAAAGTTGACTATTCAAACTAAGGTTGTTTGTTATACTCATCTGGTTTCTATTGATTCGGTGACTAAAGCCCACTCGAAGGCTTATTGTTGGATTACTAAATAAGGTCTAGTGTCTTTAGAGTTTTGACAAAATGGAAATGTAAGTTAAGATGAAAATAAGATACGAATTTTTCAGGTGAAAAATACAACACTTCAAGTTATAATCAACAATTTATTTATTTAATCAACGATCCACATAACATCCACACACACATCGGCACTGTACAGCGCACATGTAGATGTAGTCTATATACATATGTAATGAGCAATGGCACAAATCGAGAGGCAAAAGTTCAGCTGAAGCATATCCACGAGCATATGGTCTAGGGCTCTACATATACCTTATTTGTCTTCTACTTTTTAAACTACAATTAAAATATATTTGATTTTACTAAAATATAAAGTTTGAAGAGGAAAAACAATGGGGAGAAACAATATAAATGTTTGCATTGAAAAGACTTAACACAAAGCATAAAAACATATAAACCAAGTTTAAATACACAAAAGACAAGAAGATTGCATCTCATGAAAGAATAATATCGAAGTCTCTCATACTGAAACAGCGGTTGAAGAAATGGCCTCCATTTCGACTTGAACAATCAGCATATCGCGCACAACTAAACCCTTCGATGTATCTCTCAGATTCGAAAGAGGCACAAAGGCATCGAATCCCCACCCGGTTGTCTGGGGACTGAACCAGTTATCAACTGCCCACCAAAAAAAAAGGAACATACATATATGTATTAGTAGTCTCATCACCAAGATGTTAAAAATATTAAATTCAATTGGCTTTAGCATCCACGACACTTACGTTGTCCAACCACATCATTATTGGATTGGCGTTGATTAGGAACACGAAGCTTGGCTCGAGCATAAACCTTCTCATAAGGCTTTGCTTTTAGTAGCTCCTGTTGGCTAAGGTAAAGGTAAACGGACAAAGCTTTGCCTTCTTGAGCGCCAACACCATTTCGAAAAACTCGTATATTCCTAATCATCAGCCATGTGAAAACTTATTAATTACATCTCAATTAACATGCATATATACACATTTGTGAAAACTCACCAACTTTTGTCTCCAATGATGAAGTCTTCTGATAAGTAATCGTTAGGAATAGTCGAGAATCCGTGAATAAACCATGTGAACTTCGGGTTCGGAAAACTCTTGGCGATGGAGAAATATTCAAAAACATTTACATAGATAGGTAGCATGATGACATCAACGCTAAACTCGCAGTGATCGATATCGTAAAGGTATCCATTTTTGAGGTTAGTAAAGGTAGTAAGAGGGAGAACCCTAGGGAACCCCCACATTGGATTGGCTGCGGTGAATGCAAATACATTTGTATCTGCATGGTAACACAACGTAGACATGTATATAAATAGATGGATTAATTTTACTATGTGGAGATATTTTTTTTAGTATTGAAAAAATATCATAGCTAGAATTAGTAAACCTTGGATCGTAAAGTGTTTATTCTCTTTCTTGTTGAAGACGTAAAACCTGATATCTGCCTGAACCTCAAGAAGTGGAAAGACAAAAGTTGACTTATCTATGGCGACATATAGTGAAATGTAACCTGTACCGTTGTCGTTCTTGTTCCCTCTGGGGTACACAATAAAAGTCCTGGTTCGTTTTTTTTCAAAAAAAATTGTCATCAAAAATATTCAGCTAAACAATGGTCCATATATAATGGAGTGGCCATGAACAAAGATGGTGCCGCAAGGTCCTACATTTGGTGCAAGTATGATTTCGACTACGCGTCTTGGACCAGTAAATAAATATTATTATCGTGGAACTAGATAGATTGTGAGAAAAAGGCCCATAATATTCTAATTAATAAGATAAGATCGTACGTACCAATTGTATTTACCGACCCTAAAAGGACGAGATTCATATCTCTCGGTGTAGGTAGACTTCATGAGTGTGTTAAAAGACTCCATGTGAAGAATAAAAGACGATGGAGGACGTTCTCTCAGACCCTTCACCGTGCTGGATGATGAAACTTTACTATCACGCGATGAAATCTGAGTGGTGATCAGTTTCTGAGAACCATTCTCCACGTTTGGGACTGGTGGTCCTGCAAAAGAAGAGGTGATGAAGAGACAAGACAAGAGAGATACAACACATAAGGTGTATGTGTAGTAAGTCATCATGCCAAAGTTTTGTAATTCTAGTTTAGAGAGTTGCTCATGATTTTGGTATATGTGTGTGAATACGTATATATAGAAGGAGAGAAAGCTAACTAGATGCTTACGGAAAGAGAAACTAGTGCGACTTTTGCATGAAACTGTTTTCTTTGTGCCTAGTGTACCAGTTGCTAAATTAAATTTGTAATTCCAATCTGGTTTGTTAATGATACGTTTTACCATTTTTTTTATCATTGACTTACAAGTCTATCTAATTGTTTAGACACCCATTTGAAGGTTTGCTGGAATAGTGGATAGAAATAATATGTTCATAATCAAAGCATTGGAGTTGAATCCGAACCATGTAGCTGTCAAGCGATGCTTCTGTAGTTGGTTAAGTTAACTTCGCGTAAACTTGATCAAGAAATCAAACTGCCTCGATAAAATATACATAGAAAAGTTTTAGTGTCTTTAGAACGTTTAATTGTGTTTATTTCAGTGAACGAAGCTTCAAAACATATTGATGCCAGTACATTAGATTTATGTATATGTGCGACTTTTAGTGTTGCGTAAATTTTTTTAACCGGGAGCAAGACCAGCACTTGAAAATATCTAGACATACGTTAAACATCTCTTCCAACGAGAATCGAATTAGAGGCACAATGGATCCAATTCAAAGCGTTAATCAACTATATATATAGTTATTTAAGTTAAAAATAAAATAATATTATTGCAATTTTAGACAGCATAAGTAAATGAATTTTCTAACTAAAGCTATAATTAACTCTTCTTGTGGGAGATATAGTCATTGGGCATTATCCATTGTAA